TTAATTACAGCTACCTTAAAAGACTGTGGTACATAGCCTGTTAATAAGGATATATTGATCATATCTAATATATGAGTGTTAACTAAAGGAAAGACCTCCTTAAGTAGCCTAGTTGGGATGGGGTCTAAGAGACACGTTGATGATTTAGATGAAGAAATCACTGCTGTCAATTCTTGAAGAGAAATTGGGGAGAAGCAATCTAAATATATATTAGGTCTTACAGCTGTGTTTGAGGTTAGATAGGTACTATCTGAGTCACTGTGACCTTGCCTCCATGTCATTCTTTTAAGCACGATATCTTAATTGACGCCTCTTCAAATTTGGCACTTTGACCACCAATATCTAGTCAGTTCATCCTTGACTCAAAGTGAATGTGACTTGACGTCACTGTGACCTCACAAAACATGTTTTTTTGCCATAATTCTTATGCTGATTATTTACATTTTTTTCCACTTGTTCGATCAGAGAACTGCATGAGGCATTCCACTTGCCCAAACATAGAGTTTACATGCTCCGAGCTAGCTTTAATATCAAGCCCTGACTCTTTGGATGCTGCTGGACATGATCCATCCATCCATCCATCCATCCATCCATCCATCCATTTTCATCCGCTTATCCAGGGCTGTGTTGTGGGGGCAGCAGGCCAAGCAAAGCACCCCAGACGTCCCTCTCCCCAGCAACACTTTCCAGCTCCTCCTGGGGACCCCAAGGTGTTCCCAGGCCAGATGAGATATGTAATCCCTCCAACACCTCCAACAGAAGGCCCCCAGGGGACATCCAAATTAGATTCCTGAACCACCTCAACTGACCCCTTTTCGACGCGAAGGAGCAGTGGCTCTACTCTGAGCTCCCTCTGGATGTCCAAGCTCCTCACCCTGTCTCTAAGGCTGAGCCCAGCCACCCCTCGGAGGAAACTCATTTCGGCCGCTGGTATCTGCAATGTCATTCTTTCGGTCACTACCCAGAGCTCATGACCATAGGTGAGGTTTGGGACATAGATGGACCAGTAAATTGAAAGCTTCGCCTTCCAGCTCAGCTCCCTCTTCACTACGTCAATCCACGGCAGTGCGCACATCACTGCAGACGCCACACCAAACCAACGATCAATCTCACACTCCATTCTACCCTCACACGTGAACAAGACCCCGAGATACTTGAACTCCTTTGCTTGTGGCAGTAACTCCCTCCCAACCAAGAGGGGGCAATACACCGGATTCTGGCAGAGAACCATGGCCTCAGATTTGGAGGTGCTGACTCTTGTCCCAATCGTTTCGTAAGCTTAGCTCGAAGCTAACAGAACCAGTGGGATATTCATGATTATCCCAACAGTGGAGATTCACCATTGTCAACTTATTGTGAATGTTTGGATATCATCTCATTCCTACCCTCAATCATTTGGCAAATACAATAAATTAAGCCTCATTCCAGGTCTTTTATCATTCCATTTTAGTTTGTAAATCATTTTAGCATTTTACAAAAAAAGGAAGACTGTAAAATGGACTTGCACTTGTATAGCGCCTTTCTAGTCTTACCCGTCAAAGCACTTTTACACTACTCACATTCACACATTCACACGCTGGTGGCCGAGGCTACCAAACAAGGTGCCACCTACAACTCAGTTGGTTTAGACATCCACATAATGATGGCACGGCTGTTAGGAGCAATTTGGGTTTCAGTATCTTGCCCAAGGACACTTCGACGTGCAGACTGGAGGAGCTGGGGATCAAACCGCTGATATTGCGATAAGTGGAAGCCCTGCTTCACCTCCTGAGCCACAGTCGCCCCAAAGTAACAGCACTGATGTAATGTGTGGTCCTCAGCATAAAATCTACACTGTAAGACATACAGGAAAAGATCAAGAGACAGACACACATCCTTCTCCGCCCTGGCCTACACATTCTGTTGCATGCTAATAACCCCCCACATAAATAACCTGCGTAGAGAATGTATTCCACGAGCTGTCAGGCCATCGACTCACAAAGCAAAGCCAAATTACCTGTAATAATCGGATGCATCAAGTGGCTGTTCAAAACACACAGTCATGCAGAAAATGTTAAGCTTGTTTGTGCCTAATTACCATTCATCTTTATGAGACGTTGGGTGTGCTGCATGGCGAAGTTGTGCTCAGCGGAGGGGCTGCGTCCTAAAGATTTGAACCGATACAGTTGGGTGAAATTAACATTTTGCTGAAATGCACTGTTTTTCTGTCACCTGTAGGAAGCAGCACAGCTGGACAATGAATTCATCTGACTTCCTTGAATCAATGTTTGGCTCCAGCCACTGAGTTTGTCTCACATGGCACTTGTGCTAACAGCCCATCGCTCCTCAGGCATGATGCTGCCAACCTTTTGTCTTTCCTCTGATCAATACACAGACACAAATATTTAACCAGAGCAAAAATGACACCCACAACTCACTGCTGCTGTTTACCATTCTCATCTGTAGTTGTCTCCTCACTGTAGGGAGAGGCTAGGTGAATCGCAGAAACACAGTGGAAATTGCTATTGGAGTCATTTGCCCGCAGGCTTCTTTTGTCTATGTCTTTTCTTCTAGACAAACAATACTCCAATAGTGCAACTGTGTTTTCTAATCCGTGGATTTCGGGGCCCATCTGTCTGGAAGGCAGCCTTCCAGTGAGCCTCTCCAGTTTAAACAGCTGCTCTATGAATATTCATGGTTTGTAGTTCACAGTTGAAGTGAATTTGTACAGCGGAACATTGTGGAAATATTGCTGTAATGTTTTTGAGCTTCCATAATAATCCATGTATCTGCTGTTCGCTCTGTAGACAGTCCGTCATATGATTTATATCCTTGCATCCCGTGTTACAGTTTGTGAACCAACCAGCTGTCGCTATTCTGTCTGTTTTACAGGGTAAGCCTGTGGGGACTCCAGACCCAGGGGCGTTCTTCCGTGTCCTATCTGAACACGGAGCCTCCTCCATGTTCACAGCACCCACCGCCATCCGAGCCATTCGCCAGCAGGACCCACATGCTGAAGTTGGGAAAAAATACCCCCTGTCCAGGTAGTGAGCAACACTTGGCACAACAGGAAGTCCCTGTAATGTTGATAGTGCAGTATTTCCTTTGTAATTCAGCTTTTTTATTCATCTATTCAGTCAAATCTGAACATGTCCACAGGTGCCTGGTAGCTACACATTCTTATACCCATAATAGTAATTCAGTCAGGAACACTTTAGTCAAAGAAAACTTTATTTCCATTTGCAGTTTTAAATGTGGCGGTACGGCTGGACTCAGCCTTAGATACAGGGTGAGGAGCCCAGACATCCAGAGGGAGCTCGGAGTAGAGTCGCTGCTCCTTTGCATAAAGATGGCCCAGTTCAGGTGGTTCAGGCATCTGATCAGGATGCCTCCTGGGCGTCTCCCATTAGAGGTTTACTGGGCATGTGCCACTGGTAGGAGGCCCCAGGTAGATCCGGAACACGCTGCAAAGATTATTTATCTCATCTGGCCTGGGAAATGCTCCTCGGGAAAAGGACATCTGGAATACTTTGCTTAGACTGCTGCCCCCACGACTGGGCTCTGGATCAGTGTGAGATAATGGATGGATATGTGTATGATTTTCTTGAAAGATACCACAGGCTTTTAATTTGGCATGGTGTAAGATGTAAGAGAAAGATTTTCATAGCAAACCCTTCAGCCCATTAGACTGTAGCCCCTTTTAGATAGAATTGTGCAAATTTGCAGGAAAGCCCAATCAGTCTTTTTTCAGCATTGGCAGTATAAAAACAAAATCAGGGAGTGCAGCAAAATGCCACCTGCCTACTTTTGTTTATACAGAATGAGCCTTTTTCGGGGCAATGGGGGGCGTGAGCAAGTAACAAAACATGTAGCTCAGTGTGTGACGTAAACAGTGACGTGGGAGGGAAGCCGCGGCTGGTCAGTCCTTCGGTGATTCTCTCATAAGTCTGCCCGTTCTTCACCGTTCTCGTCATCTGACGGTTAATGGCCTCTTCACTTGCGAGGACAAGGAGGGCGCGCAATTCCTTGTCTCCCCAGTTGCTCATGTGTCTGTCAGGTTTGTGTTTCCCTCTTGCTATTAGCTGCTCGCTAATTCCTGCTATCAGCTGTTTCCTGTTTATCCACCGCCAGTGGCTCGCACGTGCGGCGTCATCAACAGCTCCTCCCACAAGTCATCAACAGCCCCTCCCGTTGCGGAAGGCCGCCTCTGTCTTTTTAAACTTAAAAGGTTCCGCCAGTATGACTACCCTACGATGCGGAAAATCGGGCACCTCGGATCAACTCGCCAATCCGACTCTGTGTGTCTAAACGCTCGCAGCTTGCCGGCAAAACGACCCAACATTTGAGGAAAATCTGGCAGTGTAAAAGCAGCTTATGATCCATGTTCTTATCATGTTAATTGAGTGATACATGGACTGAAGCACAAAATTTGGTGCTCTGAGAAACTAAATGTGAACTGTGAAGACAGTGGGTGAAGGTTTTAACCCTCAGCTGCAGGTTGTTTGTTGAGCTCTGAAATGCCAGGAGTGATGTGTTAAAGTATCTCCTGGCTGACGGTGTTCTGCACAGCCTGTCCAGCCTCTCGTTAGTCTCCGGCCATCTGTTGATGCACAGCCCTCTCCCACCTCCACAGCTCACAGTCTGCAACCTCGACTCGCTCGGGTCTTAATCAGGATGGATAACAAACAATGGCAGGTCACCTCAGCTCACCCACATTAAATCATACTTCATGGGCTTGTTTCCTCGGCTGCCTCTGTCTCACAATTCAGGTAAAGGTCTCCTGTAGCTCCGAGTTAAAAACAAACATTTTTCATAGTATTAGTTTGGCCCAGTGAGTGAAATACTTGCTGAGATGATCGGAATTGTTAATTGTTTGGTGTGGTGCAGAGAAATTTGGACCTCGAGGGTTGTGGTGTCAATGCACCACTTTCATTCTGTTCAGCAGTGTAAAAATGCCTCTAAGCACACAATCATAAAGCAATTCGGGAGCGGGTGACCTATGGCCCTGGTGAATCATTCAGTAACTCTGGCACTGTGTGCTGAACTTGACGATCTCCGGTTGTTCCCTGAACTGAATGCACAGCGCCTTTTTTAACTGCTGTACTTGCAAACAGAGATTATTTCCTCCAATATCTCTGCCTCAAATATTTGTTGGCATTTATCGTCTCAGTTTCAACCTCGCTGCAATCAGTCATTTAGGCGACATGCTGTTTCTGTGTATACTTTCTTGTTCTTAATGTGCCTTTTCCCCTTGGAGGAGGCAGGTTTGTGAAAGATTACTGCATTTCCCTTTGGCGCTGAACAAAACATGTCACCATGACACAGAGGCAGCAATAGAAAGGAAGCAATGAAACATGATTTCATTTTGGCGCAGGGCGGCTCAACGTCTGAGCCTTTCATTCGCTAACTGATGATGTGTACTTTCAGTTTTGCAGTTTCACAAACAGATTTTCTGCCAATAAAATGTGGCATTTTAAAACTCAGACTGTCTAATACTGATATTTAGAAGGTTTGTTTAATGGGGGAGTTACTGACAATTTGTGATTCAATTCTTGTCTGTCCTGAAAGTTTAATTTACTAAAAGAACGAAATGGTTTGTGACAGTATTGCCTAATGGATCCACATCTAGTCTATGCGTTTTTCCACTTCCTATAACACTTGGAGGGATATGTCAATACCAGTAATGCTGCTTTTAATTAAAAGTGTGTCGATGGAAGTAGTAAAACCTTTCAGAAAATCCTGTTAGCTTTATTATTAAACACATAATTTCACGCTAGAATGGATTCAAGTGATAATTTGATACAGTTCAAACACCCTGTCTGCAGATTATTGACACTATGAGACATTTACCCCTCCAGAGGCTGCTCAACTGTAACCGTCTTGGACCCTTATCAATATACTTGAGCTATATTACTTGTCACCGTCGATGTGAAAATTACATCCAGAGTCTGGCTGTCTGAAGTTGTGAAGGCAGCAGCAGTCTGCATAAATGAAGCCTGACAAAAGAGGCAGACACTCTGTCATCAGTGCTTTAAAGACGGGAGGACGATCTCAATGCTGAGAGGCCAAAGTGAGTGGCTTCAGTTAATAGAGGTTTAAAGATGATGCTGTTTAAGATGTTGATGTTTGCACCCTGTTTGACTTTATCTTAAATGAACTCCTGAGAATATACCAGGGTATTCACAAGAGGTAGGACAATAATCACTTCACTTATGTATCACAGTTTTCCTTCAAGGCCTGAATCGATAAAATAAGAAGACAGAGATATCAAGGTATCAAGAATTTTGTTGTTATAATGTACGAGTAACAGAAGACAGAGTAGTTGTGCGCACATCCAGTACTGTTTTTGGTCAGGTGCTGGGTAGTAGGGGTCCATGCAGAAAGAAGAAGAAAATCCACACACTGAATTAGAGCTCCCAGTTTACTTTATTGACTTAAATGCAACGTTTCGACACAAATGGTCTTCCTCAGGCAACTTCAAAAGGATGAAATGGCAGGTGGCAGGTATATATATAGGCTAAGAGCCAGGTGACATCCCATCCACATCATCTGTCAATCAAACAATCCGACAGTCGTTCGGGTGAGCCATATATACTGTAGGCATATAATGGCTACTTAGTATGCACAAAGGATTTGCATATCAATAAGTGCAAAGACTACAGATACACAAAATATACAAATTGTTATTGGGGAAACACACAATACAAAAGAGACAATTTAACTATTAGAAATTAGAATTTTTTAGAAAATGTTTTGCAAAAAAACAAACAAACATAGGAATACAGTTTTAAAAGGAACACTGCTTGGAAAATAAAAACACCAAATACCAGTTCACAAAAAGGGCTTAATGTCAGAATCCTCATTAAGGCCATTAGGTGACATGGTATTGAGAAAGAAGATCCAGTAGGTCTCCCTTTGAAGGAGTCTTCTTTCAATGTCACCACCCCTACGCTGTTTTTGAACCCTCTCCACTCCTAGATAGCGCAGAGCACTGACATTGTGGCCTGCTTTTTTAAAATGGGCCGCAACAGGGCTGTGCTCGTCGCCCGATCTGATCTTGCTCCTGCGTTCACTGATTCTAGTACGTAATTCCCTGGATGTTTTCCCAATATACGCAAGGCCGCATGGGCAACGGATCATGTAAGTCACATGTATGGTACTGCATGTGATGGCCCCATGAATAGAAATGTTGCGACCTGTGTGTTTTTTAAAAAAAGCAGGCCACAATGTTAGGATTTTGACATTAAGCCCTTTTTGTGAACTGGTATTTGGTGTTTTTATTCTCCAAGCAGTGTTCCTTTTAAAACTGTAATCCTGTGTTTGTTTGTTTTTTGCAAAACTTTTTCCATAAAATTCTAAAAAAATCTTAAAACATTTTCTAAAAAATTCTAAAAAAGTTATTTCTAATAGTTGCCTTTTTTTTTTTATTGTGTGTTTCCCCAATAACAATTTGTATATTTTGTGTATCTGTAGTCTTTGCACTTATTGATATGCAAATCCTTCGTGCATACTAAGTAGCCATTATATGCCTACAGTATATATGGCTCACCTGAACGACTGTCGGATTGTTTGATTGACAGATGACGTGGGTGGGATGTCACCTGGCTCTTAGCCTATATATATACCTGCCATTTCATTCTTTTGAAGTTGCCTGAGGAAGACCATTTGGGTAGAAACGTTGCATTTAAGTCAATAAAGTAAACTGGGAGCTCTAATTCAGTGTGCAGATTTTCTTCTTCTTTCATAATGTACGAGTAAGACTGGGCGATATCGAGAAAACAAAATTCTTGATATTTTTGACCATATACCTCGATACTGATATTGCCATGGTATTGATGCTTCCACAAAATATTTACACAATGATATTTTTGATAAGAAATCATTAATAATGTGGAGATAATGACTGAGTTGGTAGAGGCAAATAATATGACAGCAGTCCAACAGTTGGGCAAGTTCCGAAAATCACATAATTTTACTGTAATGCAGCCTTGAAAAACCAGAAAAAGACAACACTTAGGATTCTATGATACCAAAAATTTAAGAC